CAGAGGTCAAGGGTTGAAATGAATGTTTCCTAAAATAACAAGTTACCTACGAAACAAAATTTAATTTTCTGAGTATTATAATACAATTGATTTAGTACACGCAAGGTTATAGTTTTCTTACCATACTTTTAATTACATTTATATACACATACCTACATAATAAATGGAGTAGGTACATTTGGTTAATACAACAAAATAAATCGTGATAAGGATACATACTGAATACCATGGTAAAGAAGTGTGTACATCTAGGCTAATTAGTAAAAATGGGAATACTTAAACAAAGAAACGGACCGGAGTTGTTGTCTGTTGAATGTTGTCTGTGGAAGTTGGAAAGCACGCAGAAACAAAAGTAAAAGTGAAGTTGGGTTTTAAAACAAGTGTTTTATTAGATCTACATTTTAGATCTAGCCTATCCTTACTCACAATGTAGATTGTGCGTGTATGTTACATGTATCAGCTTAAAAGGCCTCTATTCATATTCTTTGACCAAATTAACTTCACACCCCATGATAAATGATAGGCCTAAGTATATAATGGGCAATTATTAACCCTTTCAATGCCGCAGGTAAATGTCTAGAATCTAGGACCCTGTGCCAAGGGAAATCCCATGAACCAAGGCTACTATCAGGGGTGACCCCACTCTAGAAAATCTACCTCCTATAACTTTTTTATTTAGAATTATTTCCTGATAAATTTCTGCATGTACATTCTACACTGAGCCACGATTCTATTGTTCTGATATAATTTTGGGGAGATTTCATTGAGAGATAGAATCTAGATCTAGATCTAGATCTAGTCTAGAATCTAGATTCTAGGCTAGATGGAGAAACTTCCATGGAGAAAAGTTGGGTGATCTTGTAGTTCCGTTCTTTAAAGTCCATGATCCATTTGTTTACATCCAGAGAAGAAATCCGGAAGTCTTGATGACCGAATTGGCAACAAGAACAGGGATGCAACCTTACTGCAAAACATAATCATATTATGGTAAAATTCAGGGGGGGCACGTCCCCCTGAACCCACCTTCCACCCCTGGACTCCCCTCCATATTTTTTTAAGGCTGGCACTATTTCTCCGAACGTTCGGGAAAATAAAGCTGGGCACTATTTCTCCGAACACTCTGAAATCACACCCTTTCCCGCATATTTCGGATAATAAAAATAAAATATAGATCTATAATTATATTATAGGCCTACCAAAGATTGTTCGTATACAATATGGTTCAATCGGTCCAAAAAATGTCCGTACTGTTTTTCGCTACAGATATGAAGTGTGGCCTATGGAGGGTGCTGCTCTTAAACTTAATGTGTTGCGTTCACTCGTGAGCTGTCTAGATCTAGATCTATGGAGGGTTATTGATAACGACACATAGAGCTAGCATCTGCGTTTGTCGAGGCCGCGACCAATCAATCGTGGCTCGATTTTTTGGTCCCCGAAAAAGTCAAAAAAAAAAAAGAAAATGAACCTCTTTACTTTTGAAAGAAAGTTCACTTAGCTTCACTTCGTCTCTTTCTCACTTGTTGTCACCACGTTGATTTGTTGAATACGTTACAGTTACATACGATTTGTATTGCTGTTCCTCTTTTATTTTTCGTTTATTTTTCCCTCTTTGTGGTGTTATATTTTGTTGGTGTGTATTTTTTTTTTCTTGATGTGTTGTTTTTCTATTAATTTTTTTTGTTGGGGAAAATGGGGGGGGGGGGGGGGGGGGGGGGGTTGTATAGTGTAACGTCATTTAATTTGATGTTTCTACAAAAGGTATTGTGTAACGTCATTTAATTTGATGTTCCTACCTTCATTAGATTCTAAATATATATATACCTGTATAGATTTAAATGTGCTATGTTAGAGCGTTCCACCAAAACCAATTACATGTTACTGACACTGGCAGGCCCCCTGTGTGTGATTCCATAATTTCCATGCAATATCCTGTACTTTTTTTTACAAATTACGCACATTTAGGGTTAAAACGGTCAATCTTCTTCGGACAGGTGGACACACGCCCTTATTTGTTAATTGTTGTGGTTGTTTCTGGGCTGTTCTAGTTTTGATTTCATTCTGTTGTGAAACCTTTCTTTTTCACGTTTTTACACTCATCTAAAAATCTCTAGACTAGATCTAGCTCTTGAAAATTGAAATAGATCTAAACCCAAAAATTTGCTCCGGTTTTTTTTTAATGGACGATAACCGTCCACTCAATAGAAAAGAGGGTCAGATTTCTCCGTCTCTCGGGTGCCTCAGGCAGTACCCGCCTCGCTAAACCAGTGGGCACACGGCCGGAGGAGAAGCTGGGAACAGATACCACCATTGATTTGCTCCTTCCCAGACCTCGCAGAATGACGGAATGAAAGTTGACGCCGAACTCTCGCAAATAGGCAAACAATCACGACCAGAGCGGAAGCCGGAAACCGTTCGGAGAAATAAAGATCGGCACTATTTCTCCGAACGTTCGGAGAAATAGTCACTTCGTTTTTTTAATTAGGTCAGGTGGGCAAGCCCCCCTGAAATCCCCCTACTCTTGACTCTTGGGACCCAAAACGGCGAATAATGGTGGGGAAAAGAAGTGCCATTCTTTGCTTGAATTTTGATTTTCGGACTTTGGTGTTTCCTTCCAGTCTCACGCTTAGTTCGACCACTCCTCAACGATTACCTGGCAATTCAGGGTCTCTGGCGTTCAGCTTTGGACTTAAACGAACGAAACTACCCAAAAACAACACCGCCAAACAACATAAACAACACACATTCGATTCAAGTAATGACAAATTGTGACCAAAAAAAGGGGAATACATGTTGTGTGAGTGTTTGCAGGTAATTGTGGCGTCGGTGGCCTAGTGGTTAGGCTCTCGGACTCGCAACCGTAAGGTCGTGGGTTCGAATCCCGTCAGGGGCCCGACGTTGTGTCCTTGGGAAAGGCACTTTACACGAATTTTCCTCACTTCACCCAGGTGGGAATGGGTACCCGGCTATTGACAGCGAAAGATCTTGTCAGTTTGTTAGTGTTTGAGCGCTTAATCAGCTGCTTGCACTGCATGCTTCCCGGGAAGCTGAGAATGTTTCGGAGTGTTCTATGGTCTGCTGGGGTAATAATATAGTGTAAAGCGCATAGAGCCTGCTGTTGAGCGGGGATATGCGCTATACAAATAAAATGCTATTTATTATTTATTATTATTATAAAGAGGAAGTGACAAGAGCAGGCTTTTCATACCATACACTACGTTCTTACAATTCATTTATCTCACATCATATAAGCCCATCTCTGTGTTTACTGCCAGTAAATCATCATTGGGTGGTAGATGTGTTAGTTCTAGATCTAAGCTTCTCTTTGAGCTAAAATCTGAATCTGACGCTTTCAAATGGGGGGGAAAAATAGAGTTAAACATAAAGGGAAGGTACCTCAATTATAATACCAGATTTTAGCAGTAATGAACTTCCCTTATAATTGGTACCAAAACAACCTATGTCATATAGTCCCGTAAATCCTACGGGCCATCGGCACAGCGCTACATGGTTCAGGCCCGTAATTTCTACAGGCGCGGTGCTGAGAAGAGGTTACTAAAATTAGGCATAGGCATACAGTCGAACCTGCCTTTATGGAAACCTGTGTAAAACGGAAACCTGTCTTAACGGAATCTCCCCGCTCCCCCCTTGATATATTCCTCTTTAATTACCTGTATAAAACGGAAACCTGTCCAATGCGGAAACGGAAAGAAAGATTCGCTCCCTTCCGAGGGTTTCACCTGTCTAAGATGGAAAATGCTTTGCCAGCTCAACCCTGATTTGAAACAAAACTCGCAAGTTTGGTTCCGACGGCTCTAAACTTAACGCTATGGCCGTGCCGCTGGGAGAGGAAAGGGAGTAGGGGTGCAATTTGGGGGTAGATGTTACCCCATCATGTGAGCCCTAAGCGATGCAGATGGTCAGTGTAGTGTGGGTGTGAAATCTCACGACTGCCCGTGAGAGTGCCCGAGTTGCGAGCCACTACGGAAACTTTCTTGGGTAGCCAGAGGCCAGAGGTGTGAAATTAGATTGACCAATGCCAGCCGAGAAAAGAGTTCCTTGAATCGTTGATTACATGATGGCAGTGAGGGGTGGCATTGGTGGGTGGGGCTAAGGGTGGAAGCAAAGGAGATGTTCAAGCGTTCCTGTTTTAATAGGTCAAACAGTGGTCATATGAAATGCAAGCACTTGTGGTAATTGGATAAGTAAGACTGACGCATGTCATTATCAGCGAGGATAGCAGCTGAGAGGTGTGAAGTTTTGACTGCTGCTTGCCGATCAGACAAGCGATCCTTGATCCCACCGGCTGGGCCTTTGAACCCCCCCCCCCCCCCCCCCCAAATCTCCATCTCCCCCTAAATTCCCCTGTCTAAGACGGAAAAAATGTCCTAGACGGAAGTCCTTTTTATTCTGGCTCCCTTGCGATTTCGTCTTACACAAGTTCGACTGTTCTATAATACTACTTGATCTATGTCCTGATGAGAATGAGACTTGGTTTGTTACAGTTCTAGTATACTTGTCTAAAATAAAGTAATAATAAAAGGGAGGAATTGCGTAATGAGCCACCACTATGAAACAAAGTAGAATAGAGGGTTAGGGTTTGGGTTAGGGGTTAAGCCAGTGTTCGGGTTAGGTCTCTTCTATATTGTGTTTGTTGGGGTGGTCACTCATTATGGGAGTCCTTCCTAATGAAAACAAGAACCCCCGACCCCCCCTCCACCACCCCCAAATAATAAAACCCAAAAAACATTGCATCAACATCAAGTCTACATTTAATATGTATAGGCCTATACACTGTATGAGCATTTTTACATGTTATAATCATGATATTATAATGATAAAATAATATAAAATGGCAATGATGTTTGGCATTTGGAAAGAACCCTGCAAAAGTACAAGTAAAACACACTGTTTGTAGTGAGGCTAAAAAAGGAAATCATGATTTTTATCTTTAATTATTTTAAACTCACACTCACCACAAGTAGTTTTGTCAGTCAGGGGTCTTGATCTAAGTCTAAAGAAAAAGTTTGAAAAACTCGGTGATAACATTCTGGCTTTTAGCATGGCTTCACATCATCAGTTTCTGTAGACTGGTGTGGAGCCAGGTGCAAATTTCTTTACAAGAGTGTTATTCCACTCTATATATTAAAGGATTGTTCTATCTCACCAAGGATATGAGGCTCTTTTGGTTGCATGTACCATGCTGATCTTGAAAATGCCCCACAGTGCCTGGTTGGACTGAGACAAGATCTATTTCCAGATTCTAGACTTCTACTTCTCATGTGAATAAATCATAAAGCTGGCCGTTAGATTCAGGAGATGACCTGAATACTTGCAGTTGCGGGTCTTTCCTTTTGTTTGGTCGTTGTGGCCTGGATATCTTGTTGTGTGACAATTAATTGATCACAATGGTAAACAGTGTTTTCTATTCATACTTTTTGATACAATACAATATGACTATTAAAATATATGATTTAAAAAAAAGAATCCAGCTTTTATGCATGTGAATAGCACCTCAATTTTTTCTAACCCTACTCTCCCTAGAAGCCCATGGGGAGTACGCACTTGTGCCCACCATAATATCATGCTATTAATGTGAAACTTTGCTTACAGTTTACTTAAAACTTATATAATTAGGATGATCTATTAAAATATTGGTATTAGTGGGAAGAGAAATTTTATGAGATGAAAGAGAAAACTAATCTATCTTCGTTGGACTAACTTATCACTGGATAGTAAATCATTGTTCTAGATATGTTGCTCTTCTGAAAGGCTTTCAAAGCATTAAAATCGAATTGATTAAAAGCCTTGTCTGTGTAGAGATGTATTTTCTTCTAATTTTACATTTTTTGTCTCTAATGCCCCAAACATTTTTACAAACACACAATTTGCCGGGTGATCACCGCTGTGTTTATTTTTACTTATCACCCAAGTTATGTTGTCGTAGTTTATCTAAAAATTTAACATTTGTGATCATTTTTTTTTACTAAGAACGAGGCAATTTGTCTTCTCATGCCATAGAGGGGACATATTTTTTTTTTTAGAAGACCCAGATACATAGTCTGTAAGAGCTTGGTTTGGGCCAAATACTAGCTCTAGCTATATCTATTCACTAGACCTATTAACTGTGGTAAACGTCGGGGCCTTATTCATGATATGTACAAATGCCGGATGAAATGAGTTTGTTCTAGCAACTTCACTTCCCGGGAGAAGACGTTTTATTCAGACAAGAGATTTGTGTAATGAAGTAAGATTTGACCCTCAGGTTTCCTTATGTATTGCTAAATCTGTATTTACATTTGTAATGGTAATTTTAAGTCTTCTAAATGATCTAAATCTGAAACATCTAAATTGTGTTGATGGGGGCGTCAATACACATATTTTTGAATAATCGATCATATCATCAAGACTGGGGTGGAATTTCGTGACTAAAAACATGTTTCCCCATGCAGAGCTCTTGGAGTTAAAAAGACGGGTCCACTCATGTAAAATGTTTGGCACGTGAACCCTCTAGATGCGCAAACTAGGACGTTGTGGAAGGGCTCGGCAAAAAAGAGCAAGAATAAAGTCAGGTAAGATTTGTGATAACAGGATGTAAAGCCTGTTCAGTTTTTTTGCTTTAGATTTTTTAAAATACTCGTGTATCTTGAATAGAAGACGAGATATTGGTGATTGAAGGAGATGGGGGTATCTGTTGTCAGAGGTAAAAATTAGCTAGAATTTAAAATGGTCACCAAAGTTTGGTGACTCCAAAAGCTACATTATAATGTCCTCGGAAACTGCAAATTTACATTTTGTTATTCCTTTGATCAATGGTTTTCGGTAAAACTCCATGCAAAAATGTGTTTTTAAAAGGACATAAAAGGTGTTGTAAACTGTGCCTCAAACAAAAAAATCTGTTAAAAATTGCCCACTGGGTTGAAAAGTGTTGGTTTCTTCGATTCCATTTTTTAATCAGTGCCTGATTTTACCATGATGCCTCACATTTGTCGATCTGTCACAGAATTTTTATGCAAACCAATTTAGTGGCTTGCGTTTTGTTTTGCAAACTGTCTTGTTGACTTGTTGATGGCACTACTCTCTGTTTGAAACCTGCCATGAACTGCTTTGTTGACAGTGCAGACTGGTAATTCTTTATGAAATTAGTGAGTATAGTAATGAGTGATACTTCTTAATTAAAAATTGAATGTAGTGATGAATGATACTTCTCATTAAAAAATGTACACAGGGCGGACTGATACTTCTTTATGAAATAATGAGCAGTGGGTTTGTTCTTTTGTTGCATTGCTTTTTTAATTATTTATATCCACACATATTTTTTAATTTTTATTATAATATAATGTAATATAATATTATATTGTGTCAAGACGAGACAGCAACTTTTTTCCTGACAAGTGGATGGCCCTCTTACTCTTAGACATGTTTTGACTGTTTCTTCGTTTCTTTGCAGTTTCCCATTCGCATCAGGACATTTTTGTGGAGCTCCAGAGATGGATGCTAAAGACTTCTCCGAAGTGGTCTCAGAACAGCTGTAAAGTGTTGGAACCGGCCTTGTTTGAAGGTACTCACACATGATAGGTGCCCACCAGTCAGTGACGGTGGGTGGATAAAAAATGAAGGTGGGGCTCAGAAATGAGGGTAGGCTAAGCTCATAGGTAAGATTTCCTCAGTTCAGAGGAAGAAAGCCTAGATGTGAATGTGGTCGCAAAAAGACAGACTTTCCTAAGGAGGGTCCAATGAGCATGAGAGTATTTTTTTTTTAAAGAATGTTTTACTCATGTCCACAGGGACTGGTCGAGGTCTGAGAACAAGAGTGAGAATCAAACCTGGCGACACAATCGTCTCCATCCCGGCGGAATGTCTGATAACGACAGACACAGTCCTGGCCAGTCCAGTGGGCGCTCTCATCCAGAGGTGAATGTGCTGACAGGAACCAGCTGGTTCATTCCAGCAGGACGTAGACATCACATATCGCTACCCTAGAATTACCAAATTCTATCTGCTCAGTAGGCCTACTTATGTTCTAGAAATTTTACGTAAAAAATTTGGAGTTCCACAACTTGTCAAGCTTTTTCGAATGCAATTCTTTGAATATCTTGATAACGACTCAAAATGATTATACGATCATGATTGAACAGATATAACATTTGGTTTCTGGCCTCATGGTCTTTGTAACTCAGAACTGCCAAAAATGTCAGATAGATCTTTGTAAGTCTAACAGAATGAAGGCAACTTTGCAGCAAATTTCTGGCTTTCACACACATGTCAGAAACAGGAGTTTGCATATTTCATTGTAAGCATGTTGTTGCATGTTTTTAAATGTTTCGGATAAACAAAAGAAGTTTAAAAAATATGTTTAAATAATGAAGTCGTGCCCCTTAACAGTACAGCTGTGCCCATTCAACTGAGCTATTCAATGTATTGATTTTTGCGCTGTTCACAGCTATTTGAAACACAGCAGAGCCATTTCAATGTCGTGTGATTTTTTTTTAAAGTAATGGATTTTTGTCTCAGTTTTCTCAAACTATGATAAAATTAGAGCACATTTTATCTAAAATCATGGAGATAAATACAGTAATGCTCTGTACTTGATGGTTGCGAGACGGAATGATAAGAGGAGCCAACAAGAGTTATGTTGTTGTTGTTGTTGTTGTTATCGATCCAGCAACAGCTGGGCTCTCGCCCTTCTGTCCAATGCCATGTAATGATAAGTGCAGGTCTGCTGCAGCTGCTGTAATGTTCCATAGAGTGTGTTGTCTATGTTACGTCTCGGAGGGAGAAGGGTAGCTCTGATGTCATTTAGGGATGTGCAGTGGAACAGGTGATGCTCCACAGTCTCATATGCATAGTCACACAAGGGACACATTGGGGGAAGTTCCGGGTTTATTCTGTTCAGGTGGAAGTTGAGCTGTATATGTTCTGTTCGTAGGCGGAAGATCGTGGTCTGTTTCTTTCTCTGAAGGTGGTTGATATTGTCATTCCTTTTTGTTGTAGTCATATGTTTGAAAACTGCTCTGCCTGTCTTTCCCAGGGCCCATCCGCTCGACAAGAGTTCTAAAACATGCCTCTAAAGAGTATCCATTACTATTCAATATTTACTAGTCACACCATGAATAGCTTAGGCAAGGGCACTTATTTCTTGAAGCGCCGCAGATGTTTTTTCCATGAAATTAGATGTTGCAATGAGCTACTCTTCTCCTTTTCGAAATTCAAAGCATTACGAATGGCGACGTGATGTCATTGTATTGGACTGTTCGCAAGAAATCACACGTAGGCGATTAGGCTATGCTCAGTGACTGGCGCTGTGAATAGTTACCGAACGTTGAATAGAGGAAGTTATGGGTGGACTTATCGTATTATTTGTAAATAAAATCATTTAACAGCGGTATTCAAATAGCATGAGCAGAAGCCTCACATGAATTATTCCTCCTTAACAACACCAAAATGCTTGTTGGGCTTATAATAAAACAGTTACTCATTTTACAGATTTAGGTTTTTCAAATTGACTTTTTTATCCTCCTCTGCCAAGAAACTTTTCTGCTTCTTTTGCTCCGCCATAGTCCACACTCATAGTGTATGTCTGTGTGTGTGTATATATATAAATATGTGTGTGTGTGTGTGATCATCTGTACAGTTCTCTCTCTCTCTCTCTCTCTCTCTCTCTCTCTCTCTCTCTCTCTCTCTCTCTCTCTCTCTCTCTCTCTCTCTCTCTCTCTCTCTCTCTCTCTCTCTCTCCCCTCCCTCTCTCTCTCCCTCTTTGTGGTCATCCAGACAGAAGCTAGTTTGTGTGTGTGTGTCTGTGTGTGTGTGTGTGTGTGTGTGATCATCTGTACTCTATTTCTCTCCCCCCCCCCCCCACCCCCTCTTTGGTTGTCCAGACGGAGGCTACAGTTTACTCCCCAGCAGCTCCTGAGTATGTTCCTGATCTTTGAGCGACAGAAGGGAGCCCAGTCCAAGTGGGCACCGTATCTGGACACCTTGCCCACCACGTACGGCACGCCGCTGTACTTTTCCCGCAGCGAACTCAGCCTGCTAGTCTCCAGTGTCCAGGAGATGGCGGAGAGCTCTTGCCGAAGGTGAGGGGGTGGATGGGGTGGGACGGGGGACACACACACCCAACTACGTACCTGCTAAGTAACTGATATAATCAGAGCCCTCCAATTTTGTAACGGGGGTGGGGGTTTGCCTACGAAAGAACTCCAATCGGATTTGCACAAAATCCAATTTTCTGTTAAAATTCCATTTTCATCTCTTATATGCGACTTATCTTTAATGACCTAAAAGTACACGTGTTTATGTGAGTTTGCATTTTGTGTCCACGTAAATACACATTTACTAAAAAGTTGATCAAAGGCTGTGATAATGTAAATTTGCTGTTACCAAGGACTCTTAAGAATTGGAAGTCACCAAATTTTGGCAACCGTTTTCTCTCTAGTTTTACCTGTGACACAAGGCGACTCCACACCTCATTTGATCCCAAACATCTCAACTTCTGTTCACGATAGAATAGGTATATTTGTCATCAAAAAGAAGGCAAGTGAACAAAATTTAAGTGTACCCCTTTTATTCCATATGAACAAAAAATTGATGAGCGCCTGATTCCACCGTTTCGTGACACATCAAAGTGATCACCACTTTGCCAGAGGAACACTATCAGGTCTGAACATGTCCGCTATGTGAGTACGAAGGGAAGGAATCCGGTGTGACCCAAAGGTAGAGCCTATATTGAGCAGTTGCTTCCCTTGACACAGTCCTGAACAAGGGCTTGGGCAGCATTCACTTTTTTTGTCGACAGCAGGTTAAAATGTACTAAGCCCAGAAAGCAAGAGTTTTTCTGGAGAAAAAAATAGCTGTTTGATTCTTTTAACAACTATACTTACATTACGTATTTGTACGCAAATGTGGTGAAATGAGGTACTTTTCAAAATAATGAAATAGATGAAACAAACATTTTTTCGCCTGTTGGACAAGATGGCCCAAAACAGACAGAGCTGGAGATCCTTTGTTGCTGCCCTAAACGCCAAATGGCGTAATGGGTAGTAAGTAAGTAAGTAACAACACGTTGCTGTGTGGATTTTACTGAAAAACGTTAATCAAAGGCACAAAAAATGTAAATTTGCAGTTCCCAAGGACACTCAGGCTTTGGAAGTCACCATACTTTGGCAGCCATTTTCTTGCTAATTTTACCCCTGTCACCAGGAAGTAGAAAACATCTCGACTTCTGTACAAGACAGATGGGTATTTTTTTATTTGTATGTTACTCTCTAGTGACACCGTTCATCTTCGGCACTTGTATGGCCTGTTTGTGTTACAAGTGGTGTAAAACTCATACTAAAACTAACGTTCTTGAACTCGGGTTGTTTTGTGGAATTTTCAAGGCTCTCAACCCACTGGGCTCGGTCCTATGGGAGACAGACGTTAAATTTGGAGGTCCTGCCTCTCTCATAATCTAATATTGTTGATGGTGGCAATAAACCCACACACTTCCACTTTCACTTTTTCCTTACTTCAGCTAAACAATTCAACGTTCTCTCCCCTGATTCCTGAATCTTAACCTAACAGCACAGCTGCCAACCAGTGTGGAAAAAAGCCCAACATATTTTGCCCATTTTTGAGAGTCTCAGTAGGTAAATCCATTTTTGTGTCAAGAAATGTATTCTATGTTTTCTTGTACTGCTCCTCACAAATTTACAGATGCTGAAGAGAAATGATGAATTCGAAACAGGATTTGCGAATAATAATGACAATGAAGCCCATAAGTCAATAATGGGAGAGACCTTTACGAAACATTTCTGACATAACTGTTGCAGGTCTGCGTGGAATAATTTGAATTTCTTGCAGAAAAATGTGTGTGAAGGGTGTGGTGGTGAGCTACTTGTCCTATGCCAACCATCTTGACCCGCGGCATGTGTTGAGTTTTTTGGTTAAGAAAAGTTGGCAGCTATATGGGCATATTCAGTTGATTGGAACCTACCAGTAGCAGTCACTGTTTGTCTGCAAATAATCTTACAGTGTTGCAAGGGGCGGCAAACCTGTACCATTTTTTAAAAAATTTTCACCTCAGATTCCGCAGTGCTTGTGAGAAGATCATGAGCTTCGTGAAAGGAGACATGAGCGGCCAGCTTCCTATTTTCACTGTGACAGATCTGAGATGGGCGTGGTCGGCTGTGAACACGCGGTCGGTGTACCTCCGCACACACCCCCACCCCGCTGTGTTGCTCGACCCACAGGAAAGTCACATGGCTCTGGCACCTTTCCTGGACCTACTGAACCACACAGACTCGGCTCAGGTGAGTTTGTGGCTGGATAGTGGGTGTGATTTCCGGCTTCCTGAATGATCTAAACTGCGTTGATTGGGAACATAGGCAACCCCCTTGACACTGCAAGAGAAACTGTATGGGCCAACAAAAAAATTAAACAGGATGGCCCAGTATAGGATAGTTACCGGACTTCAAGTGTGAGGCAATCGAGAAAAAAAAGAAAGTGTTGATTGGGGTGTAAAAACACACCTCCTAAATGATTTAAATTGTGTTGATTGAGGCATAAAAATACTACATTAAATAAGATAATTATTTATTCTCTCCTTGAACATTCTCCAGATCACAGCTGGTCTGAACGAGCGGTCGGGCGCCTACGAGATTGTGACCAGAGACGGCTACTTCAAGTACCAGCAGGTCTTTATCTGCTACGGGCCCCACGACAATGCAAAGCTGCTTATCGACTACGGCTTCACACTGCCAGTAAACTACAACAACTCTGTCACCTTCACTTTAGGTAAGGAAACTTACAGGTCTATATATACTTTACTTTTTCATCCTCAGTTTTTCCCTCTAGCTTTGAGTGGAAATGCAGTTTTCTTCAGTAGGCCACCAGCTCTGCAGCTTTCATTGGGATATTTAATCTCAGGGTTTCCTTGATTCCCTCAATTTATAGGTCTATACACGGTTGAAATTGTCTAAGGCAGACCCCTAGCCATTGTAGGAGGAGAAAAGTGGCCCTCCTTAGAGTTAGACAGTGTCATTATATTGTAAAAAAAAAAACCACATAGGAGGAAGTAGGGAGTGGCCATTTGTACAAGAAAATGTCTTATACAGGTGGCCGATGGATTAGTCTGTATATTATTTCTGGCATTCTGGCTAAATTAGTTTCTCGTCAATATAATATTGAAGAAATGGAATTTTTTCCATTCATGAGCAATTTCGATACATTTTTTGGTATATTTTGGTTCAATGCCTTATATATCCACTTAAAAACAAATTTCTGTTTGTATTCACTGAAAAATGTTAATCAAAGTCACAGAAAATGTAGATTTGCATTTGCCAGGGACACTCGAGTCTTGGAAGTCACCAAACTTTGACAGCCACTTTATCTCTAATTTTACCTCTGTCAACAGACAACCCCCCCCTCCCCCAACCTTCTTTTAATGGCAATATCTCAGCTTCTATTAAAGACAGATAGGTATTATTTTTAACCAAAAACGAGACAGACAAACTAGCTTTAAGATGAAAACAGTAAATCCATATGCCTAAAAATTTACAGATTTCACTGTGTAGCTGGTTCCCCAGTGTGTGTTGCTAATGTGTCCTGTGTGTGTTGTTAATGTGTCCTGTGTGTGTTTCCATCAGAGGACATTGTCTCGATAATTTCTACGACCTCGGTGACGTCCTTGAGCAGCAGAGTAGAACTGGAGAGGAAGATGAATCTGATCCGAGAGTCGCAACTCAGCAAGTAGGTGTTTGGCGGATGCTCTGGTGTGGTTTGCTCCTTCTTTCTTATCAAACTTCTATCGTCCTTATCTTTCTTCTTTCTTTTCTTTGTATGGGTTGGGTTGGGTTTTCTTTGTTTGTTACTCTCTAGTAACATCTCTAATCTTCGGCACTTTATATGACCTAATTGTATTCCAAGTGCCGTAAAATTTTTACTAAAACAAAAACTAAACAACTCAACAAGATAGTGTTGGGTTCACTCACTTATTCTCTTTCATCCAATATGGGGACCTATGTTGTATGTACCTACAGACCCACTGACCAAAAAAACAAACCTTTTCCCGCGGGAGAGCCTATAACTCTCCACCAAAGTGCACAATTCACATAAAAATTAAGAGGAAGCAAGCTGAACCATCCGAAAGTAGAAATACATAACAAGAACAATAGTACCTTGGAAGCAGCCATGACTACTCCGAAGATTTACACAGTTCACAGTTGGAAACGTGTTTTTATGTCTGAAAATATATCGAAACAAAGTCCCCTCTGCAGACACGGGATATCTGCTGTAAACGGTTTGGAATCAACACCAAAGACCATAAGAAAATACCAAGTAAAGTAACAATACTTAAGTGGGTGGCTGACTTCAAGTCACATGGTTCTGCTGAAAATAAAACCAAGAGATCAAAAACTAGGGTCACCCACAGTGGCAAACCGATGCAAGTGCAGTGGTGAAGGAGTCTGTGAGCGAAGAACCTAAAAAGTCAGTTCCTCGTCCTAGTATTGAATTAACTATTGCTAGAGAATCTGTTTGGCGCATGTTGAAGTACGATCTGAAGTTCAAACCATACAAGATCCGGGTACATAAAAGGCTCTACAAATTGAAAATGTCATAGACAATTTCATCCAGCGCCTCAGAGCGTGTATCGCCCGAAACGGCCGTCACATGGAGCCTGTGCTCTAGCTTCCTTCAAACTTGAAATTTTTATTTGTAAATTTGTCACAATAAATCCGAATGGTGACCAAGTACGTCTGTGAAATCTTGTGTTTCCGTTTTTATGGGTGTCACCGTGGGTGAAGGTTTTTTTGGGTCTCCTGGTATGTAAGTGAATTTAAGGACCTACCAATGTTGTATGTAAATGTAGGGACGTATGTTGTAAGTAAGTGAATGTAGGCTATGTTGTTTGTAAGTGAAAGTAATTACCTATGTTGTATGTAAGTGAAAGTGATTACCTATGTTGTATTAAGTGAAAGTGATTACCTATGTTGTATTAAGTGAAAGTGATTACCTATGTTGTATTAAGTGAAAGTAATTACCTATGTTGTATGTAAGTGAAAGTAATTACCTATTTTGTATTAAGTGAAAGTAATTATGTATGTTGTATGAAAGTGAAAGTAATTACCTATGTTGTATGTGAATGTAGGGACCTATGTTGTATGTAAGTGTAGAGAGCTATGTTGTATGTAACTTGTAAGTGAATGTAGGTACCTAAGCATGAACTAAAACCTATGTCTGGACCTGAGACAATGTAGGAACTAAAGTTGATAATAATATGACGCTAAGATAATATATTGTCGGTGCTCTGCTGGAAATCTCAAACTTCAACCATAAAGGAGGCCTTCCTTGTGTATCAAGGTATCAGGAATCTTTTGGTGCAGCTTGAGTTAGTGAGGTTCCATCAGAGCACTCACGATATGAAGCTAAGTCAGTAGCGGCTGTATATATGTAGCTGAGTCAATATATGAAGTAAAGTCAGTTTATGAAGCTTAGTCTATATAAGAAGCTAAGTCCATATATATATGAAGATAATAATAATAAATAATAATAAATGATAAATAGCATTTGTATAGCGCATATCTTTATTACCCCAGCAGACCATAGAATACTCCGAAACATTCTCGGCTTCCCGAGAAGCATACAGTGCAAGCAGCTGATTAAGCGCTCAAACACTAACAAACTGACAAGATCTTTAGCTGTCTATAGCCGGGTACCCATTCCCACCTGGGTGAAGTGAGGAAAATTAGTGTAAAGTGCCTTTCCCAAGGACACAACGTCGGGCCCCTGACGGGATTCGAACCCGCGACCTTACGGTTGCAAGTCCGAGAGCCTAACCACTAGGCCACCGACGCCACGAGATAAGTCAGTATATCAACGAACCAATGTAATATTTCGTCTCATGTCTCTTTTCAAAATGGCGTATGGTACAGTCTTACACTAAGCAGTCGATATTAAGGGAAGTCAATAAATGAACTACAATCAGTGCATAAAGCCACGTCCATGCTATATGAACCACAGTCAGTATATGAAGTTAAGACAATATATGTAGCACCCTGGTGAAATCAAGCTCTAGTCAAAATAATGTAATCAAAGAAACCAACATTTTTCTGCCATTTTTTTTTCTTCTTAACACTTTTTATATCCATGAAAAAACACATTTCTGTGTGGGTTTTACTGATAAACGTTGTTCAAAGGCAGAAAAAAAAGTAAATTTTCAATTTCCAAAGACACTCAATTTTTGGTACCATATATAACTCCAATCCCCCTCCCCTCTGCCTCTTGTTAGTTTCAAGAATCAAGGGAAGCAACCAGCTTTAAAAAGTAGTGTTGTCTCTTACTGACCTCCCCTTGTTTTTTCCTTTGGATTTATACTTTCATTTATCATCATTTTTATATATCGACATCAAATCCACTTCTCAAAGCTTGTCGATATAAGTTGATTATAATGTATTTGTTTTCATCGAAAGCAAAATAAATGAACAAGCTCCAAAACGATACCAATATCCCCATATGACCCAAAATTGACAAGCGCCTGATTCCACGGTGTCATGACACATATATGATATACGAGTCTAAGTCAATATGTGAACTTAAGTCCATAACTGCAGCTAGGTCAGTAATGTGTGAACTGAGGTCAGTACGTTTTTTTTGTTCCCAGGCAGCTGGTCTGTGGTCAAGATGGATGTTCCTGGTCACTTATGACTTCCCTCAAGATCTTCTGCCTACCCAGGGAGCAGCTGTGAGTTTCCCCTGCTGTACAGTCGCGCTCGCTACACACTAACCGGCTCACTGGGTGGCTTCTAAATTTGAATAATAATAATAATAATATAATATAGAACATTTATATAGAACATTTCCAAAAAAAGTAGCTTAATGCGCTTTACATTGGAAATACCCATTTTCAAAACCTTTCTTACTACTTATTTTCTTCTCACACATTATATATTTATGCATGCACACACACACACGCACACTTTTATTTTTCTTAAATTTTTTTTTTTTAATGTAGGTGTTTTTGCACCCCCATCGACACAATTTCGATCATTCAGGAGGTCAGCTTGCTACCCGGGCTGAGAAGGATACGACATCCCAGCAGAAACGACTGAGATATTATTCAGAAATTCTCCCCACCCGGGGAATCAAGCTCAGGTTTATGCCTGTCTGTCTGAGTGTCCTCACCTGTCTGTGTGTCCTATGTCTGCTTTCACTGACTCTTTATCCTCAACTGGCTTGTGCCTTTTGCAAAATTAAAACAGTGACTTACCCTGGATGATACCGACACTTTCACACATTCCTTCTTTCTCCTTTCCCATGTAAGTCAGAAGGCTGGCTCTCTTCTTCTCCTCTCTTTCTCTCAGTCTTTCTCTCAGTCTTTCTCTCAGTCTCTCTCTCTCTCTCTCTCTCTCTCTCTCTCT